AAGGGCGCTGCTGCTGGGGCTCGCGCTCGAAAGCACGCCTCCAAATAGAACACACCATTGTGATATAATTTGAAATTGCCTTTCTTTATGATAATTACAGTTGACTACACCTTTTCAAGTTTCACTTCAATTGGATGCTGTGAAATATGCCTTTTTCTAGACACTTCCGATAAGTTCCGTCCCTTTTAATTTCACTCGATAAAGAAACATTTGTACAGTTGGCAAAAACACCATAAACCAGTTCAATATGGGTGCTTGGTACAGCAGCATTTAGTGAAAACAGTGCTCACCCAACAACTACCGACCACGGATGCGGCTTGAGACCGTACTGAATGTCGGTAAGTTCTTTGAGCAACCGAAGCGACAGCTTAGGCGGCGGAATTGTGAGCGTCTTCCCTTCAAAGCCGATCTCGCCAATGGGCGAAACGACGCAGGCTGTGCCGGCACCGAATATTTCGAGTAGTCGGCCTTCGGCAATTAGATCTTCCACTTCTTGCATGCGAATGACCCGCTCTACGATATCGAACTCCCCGTAGGAGCGAGCCAGGTCCATCAGTGAGAATCGAGTGACGCCCGGCAGAATGAGTCCCTCGGTGAGCGGCGGCGTGGCCAGCTCCAGTGTGCCGTCGCGTCGTTTGCTGAACAAGAAGATGTTCATTGTGCCGATCTCCGTCAGCTGGTGGTCGTCACCGTACAGCCACAGCACCTGCTGGTGACCTCGCTTCAGCGCCTCCTGCTGCGCCTTCAGCGTGGGCGCGTAGTTGGAGCCCAGTTTGCTGTCGCCTGAGCCGCCGGGCCAGGCGCGCACGTACTTGGGATTGGCCATGAGGGAGACCGGCTTCACCTGGCTGGTGCTGAAGTAGGGCCCCACTGGGCCCATGACGACAAAGAGCATCGCCTCATTGGAGGGCTGTACGCCCAGAGTGGGCTCGGTGCCCATCAGCGTCGGTCGGATGTACATGGAGGCATTCGTTTCAATGGGCGGCACCCAGCTCTCGTCTATCTGCAGCAGTTGCTTCATTATTTCGATCAACTCGTCGCCGTCAAAGTCCTGTCAGTAGGTAAAACTATGAGTGAGTATTGAAAATAACTGGTACCTAAAGGACAATACCGGCAGGCAAAGTCGGGCAGCTGATTGCCGCATTCGCTTCATGTTCATATCTGGTCGGAAGAGACGAATCCTTTTGTCCGGTCCTCTGTAGGCTTTCATGCCTTCGAAAAGCTAAAAATGTTGGAAGGTTGATGATAGTTGAGATGTTTATTTCTGTGTCTATGATGGGCAATCTTACCTCCTGTGCATAGTGAAATACTTTAGAGTACGGGTGCATTGAAAAGTTGTGCACCGGCACTATGGTTGGCGTATCCCAGCCGTCTGCCTTGGTCCAGCGAACCTTGATCATGTGATCACTGCAGTGGTGGCCAAAGAGCAGTTTGTCCCAGGCAGGTTTTGGAGCTCGTTTCTCCTCTGGCAGGGTGTGAACGATCAGGTCGGATGCCTGAGAAGGTGAAAAGTTAGTCAGGCTTACTGGTAAAGTGCCACTCTTTCTCACTGATCAGTCACCTTAAAAGTATCGGACACTGCTGGCGCCGGCTTGGTCTGCACTGATCGAACCGAAGTTTTTGATGGCGGACTGCCGTTGTTTGATGAGCCTGACTGCTGAGAAAGGAACCTCTGCGAAAAAAGTAGTTATTGTAGTGGTGTTAAATGTAGCTCGCAAACTCTCCTCTATTGACTTGATTACTTACTGCAGAAGTGACACTGGCTGGCATATAAGCGCCTAATGGCTGCTGCCAGATGATCGCNAAAAGTAGTTATTGTAGTGGTGTTAAATGTAGCTCGCAAACTCTCCTCTACTGACTTGATTACTTACTGCAGAAGTGACACTGGCGGGCATATAAGCGCCTAATGGCTGCTGCCAGATGATCGTTTGACCTGACATGGCACTGGACAGCGATTTCAGCAGTAAATGTCGCAGTTTGATCATCTTAATTGAAGGCGACATTTTTTAAGTTGATTTATAAACAATCACAAATGGTACAAAAAGGGGAAAATTGATGTCAATGTCGATGGAGATTTGATGATTAGCACAGTTTAATTGGTGCACAAACTAGGGACTAGCCAATGCGCTGTCTGGTCATCGAAGCGTACACAGTAGCCGGCGAAGTGTGTTTCAAGTTTATTTACTGTGTTTCACTGTCTTTGCAGTAGTCGAAAATATTGTTTTCACCGAGTTTGATAAGGAGCGCACGTATCGAGGCGTTCGAATCGAAATAAGCAGCCAGCACAAAGTGAACAGTTGGCGTTGGTTGCCGCGCTGTATCAAGTATCGACGCCAACGGAGACGAAATGTGGACAGGCCGCATTGACAGTGATCCACCGAGTGAGTGAGTGAGACCAGCAGAACCAGTGGCAACCAGGCAGCCAGACGGCAGTGGCAAAACTCAGGCCAGAGTGAGAATGGAGTAGTTAAAGTGACTGACTGCTTTGACTATCACTGCTGACTATCATCAGCGGCGGCGACCGACTACCTAATCGAGTGATTGAGCTCTTACTGCTACTGCTCACTTCGGTGACAGAGAGGCTGCTGCACTGTGGCAATAATGATAGAGATGAGATAAGGAAAACCTGATGCAGACACTGGGTGATTCAGATGGGCAGGATGTGCACTCTGCAGAGCACTAGTGATGCTTTCGCTGAGGCTTTCACTATACTTTGCCAGGCAAGGACACAAATTTTCCCTTCGATGACTGAACGAGCTGCCTGCTGCTGCTGATAAACGGTGTGATGAGGTATGCACTCCGTCAGATGGAACATCGTCGAAAGTGATGTGTGCCCACTTCATGTCTTGTGGTAGCCGCTCGGCAGGCACAACACTCACTGCAAAAAAAAGAAGTGCATCAGGCGACTAATCAGCTGAACGAACAGTGCTCGAGGTGTGTGTGTGCTGCTTCTTCGAAACGCCATTGGGCACTGATTTTAAGTTAGTTTAAAACCTTTATTCAATGGTTTTAATATGTATCAAACTCATATCCATTCATTTTAGATACAAAACTAGATTGTCAGAATTTTACTCAAGTTGCTACAAACGTTTCAAAATCGTTTTTACAGTATCTCACAATGTAATTATCATTTGTTTCTTAATAACTCAACCTGATGTGATTAGTACCTGGCAGAAGCAGCTGACAAGTATCAAGGTAATCGAGAGGAGAGTGTACGGGCAGTGCTGTACGATCAAGTCGTTGCTGGACATGTCCAGCGGCGGATAAGCGCAATCATCAGTCACTTTTTCCTCTTCTTTTTCTGCTTCTTACATGTACGCNGACATGTCCAGCGGCGGATAAGCGCAATCATCAGTCACTTTTTCCTCTTCTTTTTTCTGCATCTTACATTTACGTGGAGACAACGTTAAGATAGTCTGCCAGTGTGTGCGCATCTAGCAAAACATCACCCTATCTGCTTCATCTGCCTTTTTGCCTTTGCTGCTGATGAAATTCAATTAGGTTGTTACGTGAAGGGATGACGAAAATGACGCCAAAGCGTCTGCAAAAAGTATCTTTACAAACTTGAAAGATTACAGAAATGACTATTTACATGATCGCACTCGTATCATCGCCACTGGTCGATGTCAACTGATCATTTTTGGCTGCCTGTGTTTAGGGAGCTCAGCAACAGCAGCAGCCGCCGCCACAGTGGAAGACACTCACTGTGTCTCAGCGAGAAAAGTCACTTATCAGAAATTGCCTATTACTGCTTCACCGTCTCGATATCATTTTTTGTCAGTCCTGACTGGAGCTGCACTTGTGGAACAAACGACTTTCCCATCGCTTTCAAGCGGATGTAGTTGTCTGACTGCCAACAG